GAAGTGACTCTGCTATGCCTGAGAGCAATTGACCAGGAAAGCCTGCTTTCTTAACTCTGTAAACTTGGTTGCCAAGAGTGCTCTCAACCTGGTCCTTGACAATGATGCCATCATGCATGCTTTTGCAAATCCTCGCTTAACAAGCTTGGAATGGGCTGAACTGAAAGGTAGCAGGGCTTTCTGGGAGCGGGGAGTGTATTGCCAGCACATGTGCTCTGACAAAAACATAAGCTCTAGGTCTAAAAATCTAAGTTTGTTATTCCCAGGGTAGGACTAAAGCTGAATAAAATGAAGCGTTTTTTATTTGCAGGGCAGGAACTGAGTATGTGCCCCATCTGTTAATCCGTTGGACAATGAGCACAAGTATCTTTGCAGTTAGAATGTAATTTCAAGATTTGCATAAGTTGTTCTGGCGCATGTCATCATTTTTCCTTTTTCTGTGTGTCATCTTCTCACCCTTTTGACTGTATATATATTCCCATAATTTGTGCGATGAAGTGGTTGTAAGTGTGCGCTCTGTCCTATCTGACTTCTTTCTGAAACTTTCCCCTGCGCACTAAGAAAGTATCTTTTTTTTTCAAAATGCAATACCAATCAGCCCACTTTTTGAAACGTTTTGAGCATGGTCCGAAAATGCTACTAATTGACTTAGTCAAGGCTTCTGAGAACAGGAAACCAAGCATTGTAGCATAGCACAAGGCCTGGAATTTGAAATTAATTCTCAAAGTCAGCTACAAATTACTGCCACATTTTCCCCAGAATTCACAGCTGTTGGATAAATCGAGCATCGTGAGTTGCACAGTTACTGCGGCTGCCGCAAGATGCTGCCATGTGCCCCCATGGCAGCATAAAAAAAAAGTGCTCAAGGTCATGTGTGCACTCTGATGAAGGAATGCATCTTCTTGCCTCTTTGTCGTTCCCCTGCCTGCATAGCTTTCAGTGCTCTCACTCCTACAAGGGGAGGGAGAAAGTGTTTAAAATGGTGGCAAATCAATGTTACTCTGCTCCTACTTGACAGAGCTTAAAAATTTTTTGCCAGACTATTCATGAGGCAGCAAACTCTTTTAATGAAGTCATTAGATGATTACTTGGAAAAGTGTGGCAGGGCCCCTTTAATATTGGATGCAAAGGGATGGTGTGGTTGTGCATGACTGGTAAGTTTCCTGTATGAGCATTGTTGGTCATATTGCACTCAACAAGGGGATTGAGTTTTTCAGTGTACAAAAGTAATGGGGATGTTTAGGATACATGTGCAGCTAGCGTTGCACTACTGTCATTCATTTTTTTATTTGTTTATTGAAGTACATGCTCTGTATATGGTTCTGACGTGTGGAGCGTTCAGTTCTTTGGTGATTTTGACATAATTTCAAGATAGTGCAAGAACAGCTATTATGTCTGAATAAAGTTAAAATAATTGTAGAAAACTATGTTAGAAAATAAACCATGGCTGAAGAATTACTCAATGATGCATTTAGAATAGTGTAATCATACCATGCAGTAGATGGCGCTTTTTTATAATGTCGCTCATGCATTTTTTTTGTTTTAATGGCATGAGCATCGTCTAATACTTTTTGTAACCTTCTGAAGAAGCTTTCTCTAGTGCTGGTGTAAGTTGTCTGGTGACCCACCAGCTCAACAAATCAAAAGACATTAAACAAGTTAAGCTAAGTATTGTATGTGATGAATTAGACATTAAAACACCCTCTCCATGCTCTTATAATGCCCATCTCTAAAAAAAAACATTTCGTGGAGAACACTGCTTCAGACTGTGGGGAAGACTTGGGGTGTCAACAAGATATTACAACGTACGAAAGAGTCTGCTGTCCAGTCTTTTTTAGTGGTTGAAAGCTGTTTAATGACTGTTATCAATAGATGGGAAATAGAGCCATAAAATTGTGTGCTTCTCATAGTAACATGTTTACATCAGTTGTCCTGTTGATGCAGAATGGACTGCATTAACCCTCCATGGTAGCTTAGCAGGTGCAGGAAGACGAAAGACAGGGTAAAGAGGGACATAAACTGGCTTGCTAAGCCGAGCTGAGTTGTGTGTTTAGAGGAAGCACAGGAAAAGTAAAAATTGGGGGAGACAGATTTATTGTAGAGTTTTGCCCATTTTGAAAGGGTAGAGTAAAGGTTACTTCGCTGTGTAAGGAATTTCACATGTAAACACCAACTAAAAATTATAATTTTACTGGTTTTAGAACGATTAAATTTTAAACGATTCAGGCTCAATTTGTGCTAGTTTTCGTTGTGTATCAGATCATTTAAGAGCCATCTTTAAAACGTTTGGCGGGAGGGTACTAAACTTGGGAATAGGATGTGACTGTATTCGCAGTTTCTGGGTATCGCAAGATTGGTTAAAGTATATAAAGTATGAGTATATGGAAGTGGTGATCTGCCGCATAAAAATTCTGTGCTATTGTTTCGCTAGCTCCTTTGCCATGTCCGTGTGATGCCAGTTTGATGTAGTGTCAACAAGCAAAACAGGACAGCCTGTTAATTTGGATTAGAAGGGTGCCACCAAAGATGTACTCAAAACCTCATTAAGCTCTAAAGCAAAGATGACTACCTTGCATAGATAGCTGGGTTCTACTGTGTAACTACATTTGCATTAAGAAAAGGGTATATGAATTGTCTGCCAAAAGTAAAACATAACCAATAATTTTCTTGTTCACCATATATTTGAATGGTGCTGGTATAAATGTGACTGGAAACAGTGTACTGTTTGATCCGAAAACAAGTAATGCGATATGTGGGCCAAATGAACAGGGGTGTATGGTTCATAACTATGAATGGATAATTGCCATGATCTGCTTTGCATAACCACTTATCAAGAGTGGCTAATGACTGCAGTCAGCTTCTGTTTAGGAGTAGCAGAGCAACAGCTGGGAGTGCCAACATTTGGAAAAACTGCAGTGTCCTTTCCAATGATTTCTTGCAACATTTTGCTGCAAATTGCCCACATCAAGTTTGAGGTTATTTGCCACCCGCTGACATGTTCGAGCTGATATTTCTAATGATGGTACATTCTAGAAGTCATATTTGCTCGACTTGTTTTTTGGGTAAAATTAGGTGAAAAAGTGCAAGTACGTTAGTGGCTACAGCATTACAGTAATTCACTCGTATACCATAACCACCCAATATCTAGAAAGATTTGCTGATTACATTTTGATAAGCTTTAGGTATTTGTTCAATTTTCGAAATTAAGGTAAGCCAGGGTTGTAGCCATCACTATTTCTTGGGTGCTTTGCTACCAGTACCTCCTTTGTTGTCTATTTCCAGACAGGTGAGACTAGACAGGGGCACTGTAACTGCTGACCATTTTTTAAAAAGCACCATGTAGTGAAAGAATCAGTTCTTCTAGGAGTTGTGCAGAGAAAATTTGTGTGACATCATAATATTTGAAAAATTAACAAGCACATTCATGCCTTTTTTTTAAATAAGTGTAGCATGTGCATGATAAATTTTCTCTGCCAAGAACAGTGTCTGTTCTTGTGTTTTTGTATAGTGTGTTCCTCTAGTCGTAACATAGTAGCATACCTGCCAACTCTCCTGAATTGTGCGGGAGAGTCCCACATTTTAACCTAATCTCCTGATTGTATGAATGCTATCTCAAATCTCCTGAAAAGTGACTGCCACAGCGAGGGGGCTTTTTTTTTTAGATCACGCACGTATGTCAGCTTACAGTAATGGCACTGCGGAAGAGGACCCGACACTACACTTCTGTAGTTCATTGTAACCATTACCACAGAGCACCGTTGAGAGACAGGTTTATTTACAAAAAGGCTGAGAGGTCCGTCTGAGCGATAGCATGCTCTAGTCTGCTACTCCACACTGGGATAGGGGAAAGGGGAAGAAAAGTAGTAATGGATGACAATGGCAAGGTAGGGATGTGAGTATATACTATCCTTTCCAGCCGAGAAACATGTTATAGCCGCACATATAGTCCAGTTGCTTTTAAAAGGGCTATAACTGCTCTTATGACCATAGTTGCACTGTCGGTGTCAGGCCAAGGACTCAACAGTCTGATCAATTAAGTACTGAAATTGTTCAGTAGAAGAGATAAGTGTTAGTTGTTCACGTGTGTATGCTGGTCAATGACAAAATATGTGCTCAAAAGTACCACTAAGTATATTATAAGCACTATAGCACTGCGCATTTGGTGACGGCCGAGCGCATCTTGCCACCATACCAAAAAAAGATGGAGGACAAAGTACCACAACTTTTCCATCTGCCTGTCTTGGCCCCGGCAATTTGTACGCTAGGCCTACGCCGCCTGTCCAGGCATCAGTTGTGCTTGTTATGATGTTGGGGGGGTGGGGCGTATTTGCAGAGTTCAGTTACTTGCAAGTGTTTTTGGATTGGTACACAGCTGAGTTTCTGTGATTTGTGACTTCACGGGAAAGTAGCAAGTACCGATTCTGTACCACTTGCGTATTGATGTAAGCATTTCGCCCACTGGCAAGGCCGTCGTAAGGGGGCGCATTGCTTCACAGAAGCATTGGAACTATGCCATTGCTGCAGAAGGGCAGGACAACATCGGTAGTTTCTTCCAAAAGAGATGTGAAGAAAGTGCGATGCGCGCAGTGTGTCTATTGCGGGATTTTTTGTGGAACACGACTTGCCGCTAAGTGTTAGTGATCATGCTGGACTGTTGCTTCGGAAAATATTTTCGAAGGACGAGGACACGAAGCAATGTAGGTGCTGATCGTACGAAAACAAACTGCCTTTGCCGAGAAAATGCCTGCAGATGCCGAAAACACAAGGGACAAGGGTGGAGGCTTTGAAACCCCAGATTTTCGCAATCGCAGTGAATGAAAGCAACAACAGCGTGTTGCAAAAAAACAACAACAACTTTCTCTTGCCCCTGTCTCTGGGCCTCTGTGGTCACCCGAAATTTCGTGCTGCTAGGTTGGCAGGTATGCAGTAGCAACTTGTAAACCACACTTGTTGAATCATACTTGAAACTGAAAGGCATAATGCTAGCACCCGCTTTACAGGCGGAGTGGTGGTACCACGCAACTTCCGTCTGCTAGAAGAGTTGGAGCAAGGCCAGAAAGGTGTTAGCGATGGCACCATTAGCTGGGGCCTTGAGGACGACTGCGACATGACGCTGACTCACTGGACTGGCATGATCATTGGCCCACCAAGGGTGAGGGTATCTTTTTTGAGTCTGAGAAGCTGTGATTTAACCCTATAGCTCTTTTTTCAGAAGACTTATCCCCCGATATGTAGTGCTTTCTATTTGTTTGTTTAGATGTAGATTTTAAATCTTAGCCCTTTGCGGTCCATCGTGAATCCTTGCCCAACAACACAACATGGCTGCAGCAGTCCGTGGTGGGGCACTGCTGAACAAGTTCTGTCTTGGTTGATTCATGTGCTCGTTTTCTCACTGCAGGAAGAAAAAAAACAACGCTTAAATGCAGGACGAGGTGAAGACAGAATACACATCTCAATCTAGCTGATTGAAACATAGGACGCCGTGTCCTGTGTCTCGTTGGTTCATTCTCATCAAGTATGCGCTGTTTTCGCCTCGGGAAGACCCACTCATGGCACTGCGTCTTCATCTTGTCCCGCTTTTAAGTGGGGTTTTATTCTTCATTTCATTTCATTTTATTACCTTTAGTACCCCTCTAGGGGGTGTTACATAAGGGGTGTATGCAAAGAAAGTATAAAAATGGTAGCCACATATATGATATTTGTGAGACAGGTAATGTGTTGTATTTTGCAAGAATAACGTCGGGCAGGTAATGGCGGCGATGCTGTGGGAAATGTCATTCTATTCAGATGATGACCGCGGAAAAAAGGAGGCAGAAAATGTCTTGGTGTGGCTGCGCAGTCAGGTGACTTGGAAGGCATGACCGGTGCGATGAGATGTATGGGCTGGCGGGGTGATAAAGTCCGGGCGGTCACGTGAGCCGTAATATACCTTGTGGAACAGAGCTAGAGTGGCAATGCGACGACGAAGTGCAAGAGTTGATAAAGATGATTTTTCCCTCAACGATGACACACTAATATGATACGAGTAGGATGAATGAATAAATCGTACGGCACGGTTCTGCAATGCCTCAAGTGAATTTGTTAGATAAGCCTGAGACAGGCTCCAAATGGCAGCGGCATATTCAAGCTTTGATCTGATTATGGATTTGTAGGCTAGAAGTTTTATATGTTTGGGAGCATGACTCAAATGACGTTTCAGATATCCGAGTGATTTGTTAGCTCCCGCTATTATGTTAGTGACATGCAGACCCCACGTTAGATCATGTTACACCCAGGTACTTATAGGATTTGACTTGGTTTAAGTTTACGTTACTGACTCTTTAAGGAAACGTTAAAGGTTTTAACAACGTGAAACAGATAATGATTTGCATTTAGTTGGGTTAAGTGTCATAAGCCACTGGTCACGCCCCGCCGCGGTGGTCTAGTGGCTAAGGTACTCGGCTGCTGACCCGCAGGGCGCGGGTTCGAATCCCGGCTGCGGCGGCTGCATTTCCGATGGAGGCGGAAATGTTGTAGGCCCGTGTGCTCAGATTTGGGTGCACGTTAAAGAACCCCAGGTGGTCAAAATTTCCGGAGCCCTCCACTACGGCGTGTCTCATAATCATATCGTGGTTTTGGGACGTTAAACCCCACAAATCAATCAATCAATCAATCAATCAATCAATGAGCCACTAGTCACACCATGCTTGAATAGAATTGAGATCATGTTCAAGGGGTTGCTGTTCAGATGAATTAGTAATAGTACGATAAATGATGCAGTCATCAGCGAACATGCGAACGTGACATGAAACATGTAAAGGTAAGTCCTTAATGTTATATTGTGAACAATAGAGGGCCTAAAACGGAATCTTGGGGAACACCGGAGTTTACTGGAAAAGGGTTAAGGACAGACTCATTAACAAAAACTGACTGTGAGCGCTCTCTCATAAAAGCTGCAGTCCAATTAAGAACACAAGGGTTAATGTTCAAGCTTGAAAGTTCAAAAAGAAGCAGCTTGTGAGACACCTTATCAAACGCTTTCACAAAATCTAAAAAGATTCTTCATCTACTATGCACCAACTAGCCCAATCAAATTGGGCACACTGTCAAGTTCATTCCTCACTGCATCATGCAACATCTGTAAAAGTTTCTTTTACTGCAGCTTTGACTCTCACTTTCAGACCAGAACAGATGGAAGGTGGGAAAGGGTTTCAGACTGCAAAGAGTTAGGAGAGGGTATCATCCAACTGAGAAAATTATTGAAACCCCGTGTCCAGAAATGCTGCTTGACTTGATCTTGACTTACCACAGACTTCAATGCAGCACAAATGCGTTTTGAACACTCTGTCTTTAGGCCGTGCCAAGGCAGCACAAATGCACAGATGCGTTCCGAACACGCTGCATTGAAGGCGGTGTCAAGTCAAGTAGCGTTTCTGAATACAGTGGTAAGAATTCTGAAGGAAAAGTGAAAGGGACACTAAAAAGAAATAATGACTTAATGACTTGGTTTAGATTGACAAACTACACTCTGAGAACTCTCATGCCACATGTTTCATTATCTTAAGTTCATTATTGGCTGAGAAAATCAAGGTTGAAGTTTCATTTTTCAATTTCAAGTAGGAATCTCCGTGCGTGACGTCGAAAATTTCAAGTGTATTTTTCGTATTTTTTGCGACACTGGCTCAATGAAATTTTTTTCAACTTTGTATATTAGATCCATGGCACCCACATATGAAAATGCCCTTCAATTTCATCGATTAGAACCTGTGTACGCTGTGACGTCACAATGTTTGGTGCGGGAATCTCAAGGTGGCGTCATCACCCGCATTTCCTTTTCGTGTGTTTTCTCGCTTACCAAGCGTCATGTCGCAGTAAGAGTGGTGTTTTTAGAATTGTGAAATTGTATTTTACAAATGCACGAAAAATCATTTTGCTTTTTAGTGTCCTTTCAAGGGATTTGATGCTCTTTTCAGGAAAAGTTAGCTCTACTTCTCGACTTCCATTTTGCCACCCATGAACCATTTATAATGACCAGGGTTCTTTGTAGCAGTTGCATCAAGCAATATCAGTTTTATGGTGTGAATATGCTTTTGGAACTTCATGGTCGCTACACCTGGTTGCATAGATAGTGACAATTGTTCCATTTCCAAGAGTCAAGGGGAGACTAAAGTGACACAATGAATTGGTTTAGATTGATAAAATGTACTCTAAAAACTGTAATGTTAATTTTACCATCATATGTTTAGTAATAAAGGAGAAAGTCAAGTTCAAAATTTCATTTTAAAATTTTGCACCGAAATCTTTGCGCTTGACGTCACTGATTTAAAAATGCATTTATCGTATTTTGGCGCCAATGGCCCAACAAAATTGCCTCAAATTCTGTATGTTCAGTTTATTGTCCCCTCAGAGGTTGCTTCACTTCATTTTTACCGATCAAGAACTAGGCAGGCCCTTGTAGGTGCCATCAGAATAATACGTGATGTCATTGCGAATGGTGCAGAAACTCCGAGGTGGCGTCGCCACCCACAATTTCTTCTTGCATACTTTCTCGCTTACCAAGTGTCTTCTCGCTGCAAGTCTGGTGTTTTTGGTACCACAAGAGCAATTTACGAGTACGAGAAAAATATTTTTGCTGTTTCGTGTCCTTTTAAGGCAAACGTTAGGTTGTGACTGGGTGTGCAATGGCCATTTACAATTCATCGATACTGCTACTGTATGTCCACTGTGGTTGCGACAAGATTTTGTTTCACTAGGGTCCTTCTGTATTTTTCTTCTGGTCATCAAACTTCTGGCAAAGTTTGCCCACAGCAGCTGTGCCATGAGTAGAAGGTGGCTGATCTGCAGTGTATGAAAGAGCTGTCATGCATTCAGGTACAAATTTTTGATGAAAAATATTTGTCCACATATTTTTTTCACTGTGTTCTCTAACTGAACATAGTGGTGAGTGTTGACTAAATAACCTAGCACAGAAGTTTGTTAGTTCATGTCATTAATTTTAGTGATGGCTGAAACTAGGCTGTGCGTGAAGTGATGTGATTTTGCTTGTACTCCTACCTATACTCCATTTCACAAGCAAATGCTGCCAAAGGTAGAGCTCTCATCCAATCAGGGCTCTCTGAGCACAGCAAATAGTCCAACTGTTTTAGCAATACAGAACTATTTTGCGTACTACGAATTCGTAAAGTGATAGTATGGTTAGGATTGCTATCTTTAAGCTTTCAAAGTATTTTAATAATTCATGAAATTAATAGAAAAAGCCCGCACGGACGCTGCTAAGCAGAAGCTTGAGGTAGTGATGTGCCGCTTTTTAGCTACATGGCGTGGCCTGGTCGTGTGTCTGCAGTGTGTCTCACAAACTGTCACCAGTGAGCCATTCATTGAGTATGCAGAATTTTTTTAAGCTGGTGAAGCAGATAGCTTTAAACGCTAGCGATTCTCGTTGAGTGTGGGGAGAGTGCAAGTGTGGATTAACTCACCAAGAGGATGAAAGAACCTGCCAAGGTGAGCGAGCGGACGCTCTATCGGGAGAAAACGCTGGTGGAGAACGTGGCTAGAGTCCTACCACCGAACAAGCTCTCTAATGGGAAAGGTCATGATCTAAACAAGAAGCTGGACGATTTCAACCTGAGTGTCTTTCGATGAGTGGTGTACATCTTGGAGAGGGGTGAAATTCCAAATATCGCCAAGGTGATGCAGCATTTTGAAGAGGATGAGATGCTATCGACCGTGACCACAATCATGATGCAGAGGATTCTGAAGCATCTTGGCTTAAAGTACAAGGAACACTGTCAGAACGCATTTCTCATTCAAGCGACACACATTGATCAGTATCGCCGCCGGTTTCTGTGGAGCTGTGACACCAGATTTAAGTTGTGAGGACGATGAGATGTTAGCCCTTTTAAAGGGCCCTGAAACACTTTTTCATGTAACCACAGAATGAATTCACTCGAAGGGCTTATTGCCTCTTGAATTCAGCAGCACAAAAATTTCAAGAATCTGTCCAGTGCAAGTGGAGTTACAAAGATTTGTCGCTTGCTGCAATTGCATTCTCTCTTCTCTTGTCTCTACGAAAGTGCTGGAAGCTAAGCAGGGAGGGATGGCAGGGGCAAAGAAAATGGATCATGCGCGCCTCGTGACCTTGCGCACTTTTTTTTTCTTGGAATACGCGTTTTTTTTAGTGTGATCACGTGTGCATGCGTAGAGAAGTCGTGGCCTGCCATGGCGATGTCTGTAACGATCAAGCGCGCCATGTTCAAATCAGCCAATGGCCTTTAACAAGTGATTGTTGAGAGTCTTCCGTCATTTGTCGAGAGATGAGAAAGCAATTTTTTAGCTGACTTTGATAATTTATTGCGAATTCCAGGCTGCATGCTACGCTATAATATTTGCCTCCCGTGTTCTCGTGAGCCTCTACTACCTATCGGCAGTGTTTTCTGATTATGCTCAAAAAGTGTTGCAGGGCCCCTTTAACTGACTCTTGATAATCAATACGGGGTGCGTACAGGACGGGATTATTGAGTACTGTTGTAGTGAGAGTTGCGAACATAGAAAACAAAAAAAAGAATGTTTTATTACGTCAGAAAAAAAGTTTTAAATTTACTTCAGATTGAAGTATTCATTTGTTAATTGTCTGAAGGATTCTGATTGATTTAATCATTAAAGTAAATATTTTTTCTATACCCGTGGTGTAAAAATTTAGAAAAAGCCCTGATAAGTAGAAAAAAAAAAGCCGGGCCAATTTTTTAGGAACTAAAAGGTCGGCTCATCCAAAAATAAACAAAACAGATGAAAGTGCCAAGCGCCACCTGCTACAAAATTAAAAAGTTAATTAGTATAGGACACATTTTCCCACACAGGTGGAGCCACTGGTCAAATTAATGGAAGTGACATTCGTGTCGAAACACAGTTATGTAGTGCGCTCTGTGGCGATTTGCTGAGGGTGCCCATACTTTCCACAGCATTGCAAACAGCTGGTGAAATGGAGTTATACCTGCATATCTTAATTGCAGTGTAGTTGCTCGAGGTTGTGCTTGAATTGTGCAGTACATTATAAAGAAGTCTGGTTGATGCATAGATTTATATTCCTTATGCAAGATGTTATAGTGGGTCCTGTCAAATGCTAGTGGCCCACAACACTCAGTTCCTTGCTAACTGCCCGTTTTTCCTGAGAAAGAGAGAGAAATGTTTTAATGAAAAGCTGGAGATGTTAGCCTGGTTATTTGACTAACGTGCTACTCCAGGTGCTGGGTTATTATGATGTATAACATTGATGCACACTTAGAGATCTGCTTCAATACAGAAAAGTTTGCGCTGCTACAAAACATTTCTGATGCTGCAAAATTGCTCCGAAGCTCCCCTTTTATTGCTCTATAGCGGTACCGAAGGAGCGTTATTCCTGCATTATTATTGAACTGCTTGAAAAGGCTCAAGCCCATTTCCATTTTTCTCTTCCATTATATTCCTTTGAGAAAGTATGCAGTGATTGAGCTGTATGAGGTCAGTTCCAAGTTAATAAATTGAACCCTTATACTAGTAAAAATATGATACCCCCCTCCTTTTTTTTAAACTTTGTAGTTATGCTTTAGATGCAGGTAACATATTCTTAATATGGTGGAATTTGGGCTAATCAGCTGTGAAGGGGCTCATTGCTGTTCAGTTATTATTTTTGTTTTAGGTTAGCTAGTCCAGAAAAGCCTCCCTGCAAAGGAAATTCACTGTTATATCAAACTCAGCACATGCATCTTATGGTTTGTATAGTTAGCTTCTGGACACAAAATAGCACAGATACGTAACAAAAGTTAGTGTGCATAGCTTATGTAAAAATGGCTTTCCAGACTCCGTATGAGAACCGGATCTACAGCCTGCGTGTGGAGTGTGGATCCCAGTACCCGGATGAACCCCCTTGTGTCAAGTTCATTTCCAAGATCAAGATGGTTGGCATCAGTGAGAGCAATGGTGGTGTGAGTGAATCTTTAGATATTCATATTCTTTGCTGTGAATTGACTGTAAATAATTTAATTGTAACTGCATATTCCGACCTGCACATGTGCGTTTTGATGAACCTATACACCTTTTTTTTCTGGAGCCTGAAATTGGCTTTTGGTGGATACTTCGAATTTGGTTGGTGGACAGGTGTGCACCTTATTCCAGGGATGACTCCTCTGCATAGTGTGCACTGATGTCACCGTGGCCCCCATTTATACCAGCTCGTTGAGACGCCACGTGCGCTTTTACTCGGATGTGTGCAGCAAGAAACTGTGGAATCAGATTAGTGCCGGTGCCCCTCATGTTACCGCCCTTTAGTGCCCCTCTCGTTACAGCCGTGCCAAGGGCGTTCACCCTTGGCGCGGCTGTCACAATGACTGCCATGTCTGGGTACCTAGTGCTGAAAACTTGTCTGTGGTGTCATGTGAATACAATGTATACCCCAGAACACAGCAAGCTTAGTGCGTGCTGCCATATTTAGAGTGCGCGTCGCGCCATCTGTTGCAAGCACACGAAGCAACACTCTGAACTGCCAGGTGGGCAGACAGTTTGAAAATCAAATGCAAAGCTTTCTATCCCGAGTCTGGCTGTAAACATGTTTCGTGTTTTTCCTCTCTTGGAATTTTATGCTGTTTTCATGTGAAATGTCGAGAAGACCTTCCTCGACAGTCTGGAATGTCTACAGCACGTGTATACTGCAGACTACAGAAGCAACTTCATGAGGTACGTACTATTGCGATAGAAAGAAATGCCAACAGGGGAAAGTGTTGCTTTTCACTTAGTCGAAGTGTGGGATGGCTTGGCTGTGGCAAAGCAAAACTTGTACTATAAGCGAGTGTCATCGTAGCATTCGAACCCCGCTCCGTCTTGTGCTCATGCATCACATGTGTTCATCATTTGCCTGTCATGCACTCGGAACACACACTTCGTCGAAAAGTGCCATCGAGAGCAAGATTTTATAGCGCTACGGTGATGCCGGCTGAAGGCACAGATTTGTCTAGTGCCTAGCCACCCATCCGCTGATCACGTTTCTTAGCATTGCGATATTACGCCGTTACAATTGTACTATATGCCGTTACAATTGCACTAAATGTTCCCAGTGCGTACATGCCCGCATAAGTCATATGATATTCTTTTATTGACATGCGGCATGCGAAAGAGTACGGCAATGATTTGGTGCCGCCGCATATTACAGGCATACTGAATGCAACTGCTGTTAAGCAAAAAAAGCTGGGATCTTGCTTGAATAAATGTAGTAAGTGTATTTACTCATACACTTTTACTGGGCTCGTAGCTTTTCCTGTTGATTGCAATTTCCACTGGTGGCGGAGCTTGGCGTTTGTCGTTGTGCATGGAAATCATTGCTACCTAAAAACACCACACTGGCACGATTCCCGGGTCGTGTTGTGATCTTCACAAACAGTGATGAGTCATTTTTTTTTCTTGTGCTGATTATTTTTGCATCTAAATACGGCACAGTAGTGCCCAGACGCCTTCTTGTAAGCTGGAGCGGTGTGAATAGACGCTTTCTTGCACTTTGAAGTCCCCTAGACGCAACTTGCTGTGTTAACTTGGCCCCACATATACATGCCTTGGTATTTCAAAACAGGATGGCGTTTGCGTGCGACAGTATGCCGCCGGGAGCTTCAGCGCCTGGGCAGCCTGGGTGCGAGATGGGCGTGCTCTGGTCTATAGTTGGCTGTGTTTATTGTACACTGACTGTTCCGTATGTTTCGGTTTGCTCCAAGAATATTTTTAAAAAGTAGCTACAGTAGTTAACAAATAATAGTTGCAGTATTTGCTATTTGCCCGATTGTGATATGCATTTTTTTCTTGCATGATAATCCTGAAAGTTGAAACATGGGGCAGTCTCATGCATACCCAAAACAGTGTTCACAGTATTTGTAACAGCTTGCCACTAGAGCCAGCCTAATTATTATTGTGATAGCAATTATATGGACGATCGCGGCTGGATTTTGCTGCCGGCATCGATGTCATGTATTGCCACAGCTCGAACATCGCAGAAGACGCTGCCACAATTCGCGTTCGTAAAAGCCACCAAGCAAGTAGCAAGAAAGCCGCGCCATGGAATGCCGTCCTGCACGCGCCACGATGCTACGCCACGGGACCGGCACGAGACTCGAGCGGCAGAAGAAGAGACCGACGAAGTTGGAGCCAGCGAGCAAGAGGCATTCTTGGCTGACCATCTTTAGCTTTGAGTTTACGGGCACAAGTTCGCCCTAAATAAAGAGTTTATATAGTACCGGGTGCTATATTTATTCGTAACAATCTGGTGGAGATGCTGGGTATGATTCCAAGCCCACCACAGGCAAGGGAGAGAAGCCCAGATCCCACAAGATTGGAGCCAGCAGAATTGACACCTGTGCACCAACGCAAGAGTCGCCGACTACGTGGTGAGCAGCCCGAGTTTGGCCCCCTAATTGACCCATCAAGACCTGTCGAGACCTCAAGCACAAGCGTCACTGCGATGGTCACCCAGTCGATGCCATCTTCATCTCACCTCATTGTGGATTCGCCACGTACACCAGAGGTCTTCCACGGTGAGACCTTTGAAGATGCCGAGGACTGGCTTGAAGGCTTCGAGCGGGTTGCACGATTGAATGGTTGGGACGAAGCCCGAAAACTTCGTTACGTTTACGTCGCCCTGCAAGATTCGGCATGTACGTGGTTTGAGAACCACGAAGCGTCCTTGCTGTCGTGGGACAACTTCCGACGAGAGCTCATCGCAACCTATCCGAACACGGACCGCAAAGAGAAGGCAGAGGCTGCTCTTCAGACAAGGAACCAACGGAATAACGAGAGCGTGGCCATGTACATAGAAGACATGTCGCGGCTCTTCCGCCGAGCCGACCAAAACATGGCCGAAGAGAAGAAGTTGCGGCACCTAATGCGCGGAGTCAAAGAAGAGATTTTTGCAGGCCTGGTGCGTAATCCACCGCGAACTGTGGCGGAGTTCCGGTCCGAGGCAACGACCATGGAAAGGACACTACAACAACGTGCGCGACTGTACAACAGAGACTTCAGCGTCTCTTCAGTCAGGGCGGAGTCAACAACCCTCCCCACCAACGTTGACGTCCTCCGGGAAATGGTGAGGGCTATTGTTAAGGAGGAGCTCCAGAAACTGCAACTCCCCCAAAGTCCTCCAGCGATGCCCTCAATCGCGGACGTTGTACGTGAAGAAGTGCGGCACGCAATTATTCAACCGCAGCCTCAGGTGCCACACCATACGCAACCGGAACCTCAGCCACAGCTGTCATACGCGCAAGTCGTACGGCAAGACATGAGGCGCCCGAGCTTTGCACAAGCTCCCGTTATGCCACCGACCTTTCCTCGCAGTACGCCACCGCCGATGCCAGAAGCGAGACCCCGCAAAAGTGATGTATGGCGCACGGCAGACCGGCGGCCCCTCTGCTACCACTGTGGGGAGGCAGGTCATCTTTATCGGACATGCCGCTACCGTCGGGTCGGGGTACGTGGCTTCCCAGTGAATGCACCCTGCCCTCGTAATGGTGAGCGCCCTTACGAAATCGAAGAATATTTATCTTCGCACTATGCATATCCAAACACTCAGCGACATGAATCGCGGTCGATTGCACCAATGCGCAATAGGTCGCCGAGTCCACACCCGACGGACTCTACGAGTTCAAAGTACTCCCATTTGGTTTGTGTTCTGCTCCCGCTACCTTCCAGAGGATGATGGACACTGTGCTCTCCGGCCTCAAATGGCAGTCATATCTTGTCTATCTTGATGACGTAGTAATTTTTTCCACTACGTTCGAGCAGCACGTACAGAGATTGAGAACGGTACTTGACGCCATTCGTATGGCTGCACTTACGATCAAACCCGAAAAGTGCCACTTTGGATTCCGGGAGCTTCGGTTCCTCGGGCACATTGTCAGTTCTCACGCTGTCCGCCCAGATCCGGATAAAATCACTGTGGTTGAAAATTTTCCAAGGCCAAGAGACAAAAAAGCTATGCGACGTTTCCTGGGGCTTTGTGCCTACTATAGGCGCTTCGTTGAAAACTTCTCCAAGATTGCGGAACCACTGACACGACTTACGAAGGAAGGTGTACCATTTATCTGGCACCAAGAGCAAGAAGACGCCTTCTCTGAGTTACGACGGCGTTTGCAGTCACCTCCCATACTCGCTCATTTTGACGAAGATGCCAAAACAGACATTCATACGGACGCCAGCAACGTTGGCCTCGGTGCTATTCTTGTTCAATGGCAGAACGGAGAAGAAAAAGTTATTGCTTATGCAAGCCGCACTCTGTCGAAAGCTGAGTATAATTATTCAGCTACGGAAAAGGAATGTCTCGCAGTTATATGGGCCATCAGTAAGTTCCGTCCATATTTATACGGTAGACCATTCCGAGCCATTCCGAGACAACCCACTTCACGCCATTTCAACTTGTTTATGGTCGGACAGTAATAACGACATTAGACGCGATGCTGCCTGTCAACAGCACGAATGAAGAGGACCCTGACATAAAGCGAATATGTAGAAAGGGCAGAAGAGGCACGACAACTAGCACGGAACCGCATCATTCAACAGCAGGACGTAGACGCGCACCGTTACAATCTAAGACGAAGGGATGTTCAGTACTCCCCTGGAGACCAAGTGTGGGTCTGGACGCCTGTACGTGCACGTGGCCTATCAGAAAAGCTTATGCGCCGCTATTTTGGCCCTTACAGGGTTCTTCGTCAGCTAGGCCCATTAAACTACAAAGTGATCCCTGAAGGTCAAGTATGCACAACACGACGCCGGAATCTCCCAGAAGTTGTACATGTAGTACGGATGAAACCGTACTACGACAGGAACTCAACAAGTGAACTGACTCACGTCGTCTAACACAAGGACAAGTCCTATTGTTTAGAAACTGTCAACCGGCTCTACGCATCGGGGCGATGCGTGCTAGGAGGGGGACTAATGCCACAGCTCGAACATCGCA